ATTTATGTCTTTTATTTCAAGTATTTGGTTACGCCATGGCAACTTTAATTAATCTTGGGTAAAAACTTCTCCCAATGCATTGTTTGAACGCTTCGTTATAATAAAAGAACAAAAAATTACAGCTTGATTAATATATATATATATGATTTCCGAGTTTTCGATATAGTAGTGCTGTAGTTTATTTTGTAACGAATCAATAGTTCAATGTACTTACTAAAGAATAGAGATTTGCTATTTATTAAATTGCTAAAATTTTCATTTGCATGGAAATAAGTTTATGGCTCGATGATTTTTTTTTCTCCGAAAATCGACAATTTCTATTGATTTTGACAATACTTGCACCTGATTTGTTCGTCCTACATGGGACATTGGCGCTTTTGTTAAATTCCGCGTCTAAAAATGATTTCCATACTTTGATCACATAAATTCCGACTCTGTCAATAGTATTTTGTAAAATATAATTTTTGTTAATTAGATATTCGTACTCTAGCAGTATAATAAATCAATTGTTGCTCATTACGCCATTATTAAACAACCATGCAACACTATACATAAGTAAATTTTGCCCTCAAACTTTTTATTCGCAAATTAATTGCTATTCGAAAAAGCTTTTAACGTTGTAAGTGAACTGGTATAGTGACCGTAAATTTTTTCGAAGTTTTTAAAAGCTCGGGCGGCAAAAATTTACTCAAGCGCCTAATACAGATTTCTAAAGTACAGCTTAATCTATTCCATTATATTTAGTCTATTCAACAATTCTAAATTTTGAAATTTAATTAGCCTAGTTATTTCAGATTGAGTTACATAATTAATCAGACCATGATTATACGGTATATTTAATTATCAAATAACATCAATGTCACTAATAATAATTATTATATATTTAAGATATTAAGAATAATAATTATGCATTAGTTTTATTAGTTAAATATATCCTGTGATATAATTTTTATAAACAAACTTCACACATCATGCAAAGCATTAATATCTATTATGACGTTACTTTTATTATTTAATCTTATATTATTGACGTGTTTATTTTGGTCATAATTTATCTGCAACTATATAAAAAAAATAAGAATAATGTTGTATTCTTTCGTCGTACTTTTAATAAAAGATCTAATTATCTATGAAGAAGTGTAATCACGTACATGTAGATTTGTAGTAAAATTGTATCTTATGTCGATATAATAATTATTTGCGTCCATGTATATATATAAATTATTTTGTAGGGGTCTAGAAATTTTTAGAAAAATGACTTTAGACCTGCTATACCGTCTTACCTACTAATATTATAATTAAATGACTGACAATTAACTTTACAATTAAATAATAACAAGACACATTAGCGATAGCCAGATTATTCATTTGGCACTGAATAACAATTAGCACGTATGTTTTAATATTTGTCGTGAATAGCGCAGTAACAAATTATATGTCGAAGACTAATGAAGCCTACAACTACTAACGAATGTACAAAAGTTAACTTTCTCAAAACTTCACTTTACTCTAAAGCTCACTTTTGTTTCGCAGAGAAAAGGAAATCAGTCGCTTTAATGCCTCACTCAACGTTTGACTTTCTCTCATACACAGCACGTTCTCGGCACTTCAATCAAAACAATGAGTATTGATTTATTAAATAATAAGATCTTAATTTAGCAGTCGGCCATTTGTCGTGATACGAATGCCTCGTATTAATCGAACGAACCGATGATAGAGAAGAAGCAGGAGCGTCTGACTCTAGCGCGTCTATATGCATATCATTGGGGATCTGTCCACGCCATCTGGCCATTTTCTTCAACCCGCATTTCAACGGGGAAAAGACCGCGTAACTTTCCATCTCGTGGTAAGAGGATTGCTCGTACATCTTTTTTTTCCTTCGCTTCGCCAGTTCCTATTTTACGTAGATTCGCTTTATGATCCGAATACAGGCGCGCTGGCCCCTCGAGCAAATGGCTTTTTAATGTTTCGCGTCCAGAGCGAGGAGTTCTGTAATTTTTCCTCGGCTAATTACTTTATCAGCTCGCACCTGACTCCGGCAACTTTGTTAATGTTAATGTCAGGGGCCGAGGCTGCCCTAGTATGATTACAATTTGTTTCCTTCTTTCTTATTATTACGCTTTTCAAACGCAATAGCCGAGGATTTTAATATTCGATGCTTCAACTTTAATTGTGCGGAAAGTTAGAGAGGCTCGTCGGTTTTGAGCCTCGAGGCTCACACGAGGCTACCGATTTTTAACACTTGTTGAATGGATATTAGAATGTTATTTTAATTATTGTGTGTAAAGCGACAAAGAGGAGAAAAATCTTTCGTTACTCTAGCTAATTTTCATTCCGAACTTTCATATTACACTGAAATATTACTATACGCTGGTTTCTCCCATTCATACTATTACTTACTAAAGCACTTTTAATAAGATTATAATAGTCAGTATATCAATCGTTCCTGATTATAATATTAAAAATTTATTATTTGCCGAGTGGAGAAGTTTGTTAGGGGAAAAAAAATGAGAAAAAAAAAGCATAGATAAGGTGGTGGGTGCTCGATTAATGAGTGAAGTATGTTGCAAGTTTTTAAATTTACTTTCTTGCTTAAATTTTCTTTTTTCAGTCTTTGAAAACTAATTAAGCAGACCGAAAAATAGTTGCCAATTAAAATTTAAATTCCATGAGATATTTTTTCTAATTACATTTTGATTTTCGATTGATTTTCGATTGATTTTCGAAAAATGATACTCCATCAAAAATATATGTCGATAAATGTATTAATAAACAGCGTCGATTAACTTTCTAATAAATAAGTTATGTTTGAAGTTTAATTATGAATTATTTAATTACAATCGATATTGAAGCTTATGCGACTGTAATGAAATGCGCATTAATTACGTTAATATTATTGCAATTTAATCAGTAAAATATTTCTTATTTGGTATTATTATATCTAAATGTAATTAACAGACATGAAATGCATTTACTAGAAAATTAATGTACGCTTTCTATGCGCAATAATAATAACAATCATCGATATTATTATTTTAAAATGCTAATAAATTTGAAATCAAAGAAACTGCTCTAATCACTGCGCTAATATACTAAATGCTAATGTAACGTAATAGTATGGGAAAGTTATTGTAGTAATTTAATGTGTGTGTATTAGTAATTGCGTAATCTAATGTGCGAATTATGTATGATAAGTTTGTTATGTAGGAAACTCCTGCCGTGTAAATTTATTCCAAGGTAAAAAGGAAGTTTTAAAATTTATTAGGAATAATTACAGAGCAAAAATTGCTACATATCATTATGATACGACCAATTACGTGTCTATGAATGAATATTTTAAAAAATTATACAGCTTGCATTTTCAACTTATTGAAAATTGTGAATTGTGAATCAATATCAACTATACTTTATAATTGCATACAAATAATACACTTTTTAATAATTATGAAAAATTCACATTTTACTTGCAGATTTCTTTTTATTTTGCATTTGTCCACGACAAAAATTGAAATATGCCATCAAAACATCGATGTAGTTACAATCAAAGTATAAAGTCTAAAAAGCAACGTCAAACTATTAAGTCAAATAATTCAATGATGAAATCGGACAAATACTTATACCCACCAAAGTTATTAACTTTACCAGAAGAAGTTTTGCGAAATATTTTGAACTTTCTTAATTACGATACAATAGCTAATTTGCGTTTGGTGAGTTATTCCAATGAAATTATTCACATTATTGTATTCTCGAAGTGACATTATTATTATTATTTAAAGCGAAAATTATCATTGAAGGTATAATAAGAATTTATGATAATTAAATATTTATAAAAAACTGTCCCTGACAAATGTAACCATTTATTCCCCTAATTTCTATACTCTTCTTATCATTACCATCTATATTATTAATTTAATAAAAATCTATGCAGACTTGTCATCGCTTTAATTATCTATGTGGTTCAGTTCTAAATATCCAGTTTAAAAAATTGCGCATTCAAGTAAAAAATTATTATAATTTAGAAATAGAAATGAAGAGACGATTACCATTGACCAATAGAAATCAAATAATAACATTTTTAAGCGACGAGTTACAAAAATTGCAATCGATTTTTGGAAAACATATCGACAATAAATGCTGCTGCTTTTTTGCTGGCAAAGTAAGGATAATTCAATCACATATCACATTTATTATACATTTCTGTCAATGCTATTTTGTTATAAACAAATAAAAAAAAAAAAAATTCTAACGAGTTTTACATGTCTTTTTAGATTCTGGACGAAGCATATAATATTTATAATATAATGAAAATGAATGACTATTTTCTTGATTCCGTCGGCACCCACAAAATACCTTACGCTTTACAAATCATGAATGCCTTTTTCATTCTGTTTAAAAAGCTTCAACAGTACCTCGATTTATCTAATCATTTTAAACAATACTTTTAAATATACAGAAAAATGACGAGATTTTATATTTATATTACTGATAAATCGACGATCCCCATGTAGAATCAATTTAAGGCCAAATATTATTCTTTTAATATCATTATTATATATTTTATTTCACTTTAATGGACGTGAGACATGATATTGTCAGATATTCCTTTTAAAATTCGATTAATTTTAATCAAATGTTCAATTCAATGTTTTAAGCGATTATGTAAATTTGTAAAAAAAAAAAAAAAAAAAAAAAAAAATAAATAAATAAATAAATAAATAAATAAATAAATAAATAAATAAATAAATAAATAAATAAATAAAAAGCTTAAAAGAAGATAAAAATTAAATAAATTTGTCACCAATTTCATTATTTTTATTTATCTAAGGAACAAACTCGCAACGAAGATGGATTTAGTTCATTTTATTCTACGACGTTAATGTAAAAAACGCACTATGCTAACTGATAAGTTCATGTGAGCTTAAAGAAAAAAGAAAGAATTCGTATTCAACTTGGTATTCCGTGCAACGAAAATCGTGTTAAAGAAGGCAGATACCAAGAGGAGGAAGGCAATGGGTTCATTTTACTTGAGCCGCTCCTTACGACGGAGTTTCCCCTTTGCGAAAATTTCAAATGAATTTCCAACGCGATGTACGACTGTAGATAAAGATAAGATTAAGAAAACTAATTGTCGTCGTGGAGAGGACGAAGGATCTTTTGGAGACTCGACTCGCCACGTATATGAGAAACAACCCAATCCTATACTGCCGCCTGCTAATGAGAATCGCTCAAGACGCTTTTACCAATGGACCTCCTACTTTCATCTCCCCCTACCCATCCACCCACGTCTCAATCTCTCACGGTCCCTTTTGTACATTTTTTCGCATTATTACGATGACACTCTCTCTCTCTCTCTCTCTCTCTCTCTTAGAAGTGCTGCCGCGAAATTATTCCACTGTCTCCGTCGATACGTGCCTCATTTCCACGAGGTCAAAGTCACCGGTCACCACGAATAATTTCCCTTCCTTGTTTATGCGCGCTCGGGCATTTCGCGTTGTTTCGCGTCAAAGCTACAGGCCGCGCTATGTGCCCCACCTCTGCTTTTTGCTTACTTTAATATTCCGATGCTTGGTCTTTTCAAAGGATTTACGGAATGATTATGAAAATTTTTATGGTGTGCGCGCACGAGTAAAGTAGTCACTTTTGAAATCTTATCAACATTCTGTGATTCCCCATCTGCCTCGGGTTTTCTATAATATATTATACGCCAGGGACACACTGTGGTGCTTCGAGAGGACTGAAGTTATTAAAGAAAACAACAAACACTCTCCTCACGGGTTTATGCACGCAATTCCGAGAGCAGTAATACTTCTTTCTTCCGCCTTATCAACGTAACTATGGATAATTATCAGAATTAAGTAACCGAATTGTTTGCTTTATTTACAGTTGCTTTGGTCAAATTGTACTTTAACGTCTTTACTGTTAATGCAAAGATGATTAATTATGTCCTTCCTTTTCACGATTTTCTGCATAAGACTTGCTGTTGTTTTAATATAATTACATATATTAAGTCCGATTTACAACTATTGACAAAATTTAATCAATTAATTAAATAAAGGGAAATATGAGATGTGAGATGAAATGATGGAAATTGTAAGATTCATACATAACGATGAGAAATCCTTCGAGATGATTTATCCTTGAAGAATCAGATCGATACCGTTTCTTACACTTTCCACAATTTTCCCATATAAAATAATATTCATTTAATTAATGCTCGTATAACAATTTTCTAAGAATATTATTTTTCTTAACATTATATATATATATATATATATATATATATATGTGTGTGTGTGTGCGTGTGCGCGCGCGCGTGTTTGTGTGTTTTAAGCATCCGATGACACAAAATTCGACTTTTGTACAAATGTCGAAATATCGAGAAATGAATGGCGCCATCGTTTTTCCTCTAAGCAAATAAAAGAATGCAAATGGTTTTATAACGAAAGCGAACGCTACAATATGATGAAACATAAGGCATCCATTATTTAATGGCACACCACCATAAAAGCGGAATTACACTGACAAGTAGACTTCCTAAGATTAAGGTGATGGCTTAGATACATCTTTTGCGTTTATCCGCCACTGCTACTGTGGATAATTTAAAGTGAAACGGCATAGAGAACATAACATTACCACTTAAATAAAATGAAAATAGCAAACATTTGAAAATTATGTCCACGTTCATTATTATGTAAGATTGAATCGGTCTGCTCTACCAATTTATTCATCATCTACTTCATTAGATTATTCATCATAATAATGATGTGATTATATATTATTCCATTGGCTCTCATTGCTCATTTTCCATCGTTAATACGCAGACTATAATACTACTACTATAAGATTAATATTATCATCGGAGTGTCACATTATATAATAAATAATAAATAATAAATAATAAATAATAAATAATAAATAATAAAGAAGAAGAAGAAGAAGAATATTAAAATAATAATAAATACGACCAACTACATTACAAAGCCTAATATCAGCACTTTGCTCAAGCCACAATGAGCGCTCAATATTATTAATAATCATTGAGCGTTAAATAGCATTTGAAAGAATGCGCAATCCAATTTTAATGCTGCAAATACATTATTACGTTTGCACATGGATCAAGCAACGTTTTCACCATCGCTGCGGCCAAACAATTTAATTCACGACTCGTTAAACCGGCATTCTTTGAGGCTTCCAAGAGCATTCTATGCGCGGCACAATAGTCGCGAGAAATTCAGCCGCTAACGAGGAGCAGCGCATTACCCTGGAGATGGGCGGTTCGGGCCCTCTTTGCGCAATTAAATACCCGACGAGATAAAATTCGCAAGCCGATCCCGACGCTTCAAAGCGGCTTTCCCGACACGTGACCGCACTAGGTCCCCGTGATTTCACGCCCGAGCCACCGTAGGAAAAGCGATCGCGGTAAATCATGTTTGCACAAAATTTATGCGCTGTTTTGCCATATTTCATTTGCCCCGCGTCAAAGGTCCCGACGCATAAGGCGCGTCTTTTCACGAAACATTAAAGTGCCGTCGGAGAGCGTCGATCGTTAAAACCCGCGCACTCTCCTTTTCCTTTATCGTCCCTCTGTAATTTTCACTCGCGTGATGCTCGATCGCAAGACCCCTCGCGCTCCCTTCCCAATCCCGTTTGCGCGGTGGCGTGATGGGCGGGGGAGAGGAGAGCGCCGCTTTTCCGGGCTACTACTACTTTTCCCCAGCACTTGGAATGATGAAATAATAAACGTTGCATTCGTTACACCTGCCTCGGCGCCTTCCACCATCGATCGATGGGGTGCGCTCGTGAAACGCAAGACGACTCCTATGTCAACGGGCATCGTCAAACATCATTTTACGTCTCTTTCATTGAAGTCGGCGCTGTTTCCTTACAGTCACGAAACTACTAAAGAGTTTCACATTTCCATATCGAAATCGAACTTGATTCATTATTATTATTATCATCGTTATCGCTATTATTATTATTATTATTATTATTGTTGTTGTTGTTGTTGTTGCATTATCATTGCATTATTGTTACATTGTTTTTCAGTAAATCATCAATTATTAATGAACTAACTAATTAATAACTAACTACGACGGCGCTTGTAAAATAAACTTAATACTTGCTCGTAAAGAGTTAATAATTAATGCGACTGGAGTAGACAATCCAATCCAAAGTTCAAAGTCTAAATAAAATTACAATATACATTGAGATTTTCTTTCAATTGGTCAAACATACATTTATATCGATGTGTGATATTATTTTTTGAATTACCGCTCACACGATTAATTACGTCAATCTCTTATCATCAAACAGAATTGAATGAAAATTTTCATATAAACTGATAGGCTGTATGTAGTAGGATGAGTAGGCGGAGTGAATAACTTTTGAGCTCGATATCGTAATATAATACTAAAACTCCTTATTTACCAACGTGAAAGCATGTATATTGCGATGCTTTGAAATTTGGCTTTCCAAGAAAACTTGGCGGAATTTCATTCGCTAAAGTACGCCAGAAAGAATGAAAGATACACAATGTAAAGAATTTGAAGCTAATACGGAGCTCGAACAACTCGAACACCAAGTTGCTAATTTTTTGATAAACCATTATCTGTATGAAGCATCAAATACATTAAAAATCCTCCCTGATAGAATTTAATGTTGATATCCCCTCCTCCCGCTACCCACTATCCCACACTCGCAATTTGCATAACGAAAAATCGCTCCTGGTACTGCGCCACTATCGTCCCTACCGATACCTCCATCTCTCCACACTTTAACAAAAATGCAACTCGACACTTAAAATGTGCGAGCCCAACTAATTACTCCCCCTTTCTGCCGACAACACCCAATTCGCGTCGCCGACACGAAACCTGGAATTTCGCGAGTCCAGCCTATTGTCCACCATAAAATTATCCGGTGAAGCGTCATCGGATCTCTGGCGGATCGGGTGGGGACGGAAGTACATCGTCCGCAGCCGATGGATGCTCGCCCGAGCGTTGAGCCTCGAAAATATTCCTGGTGCTCTTTGCGAGAGCCACGATATCTTCCGGGGACGCGACGCGATCTCCTCGTAAAACAAGAAGACGAGGACCGAGCATGTGTCTACGTGGGCGAGTCCGTTGCACTTGCGAATGTCCGTCGAGAGAGAAACGCGAGCATTCGGTGCAAGACTCGGGCGATTAGGATCTCTCGTCTGGGAATTTGCATGGGAAATACCATTACATCGAACATCTTCGCCTTTGCCTCTATATCTTTACTCCGTCGTATTCTTTTTTCTTTGTTATTTTGTTATTTGTTATTTGGATTTTTGGCCGTGCGCTTCTTCACGGGATAATCGATGAAATTTTCTATCGCTCACTCGGTACTTGTCGGCCGTTCACGCAGCGGAGCAAATATTTGGTAACGACGCCGTAAAAGCGGCCAACACATATAACACGGCGATATG